TTGACAAGTAGCACCTCACAGTTTTATTACATTACCTCTGCAACAAGATACCAACTTTGCATAGTATACTTGATTCAGGATTCCTGCCGTGGTTGAGTCCTTTGAATAAAATCAATGAAAAATAGAATCAACATTTGCATTCGTGCCGGATGGCTAATACACAAATGACACTAACAAACTTTTTAGAATTTACATACTGAAGTTAACACTATTTCTTTCAAACTAGTCATCTTGAGAAGCTATATTTATTCAAAAATTTGGAGCAGGTGTCTGGTGTATATGTGTGTGTGGAGAGAGAGAGAGAGAGAGAGAGAGAGAGAAGAAACACTACTCTCCAGAATACTACCTGTTCTTCCCTTCCCATTCCCTATGCAGACTCAACTTCGGAAGTAATTACTTCAGGGATCCTTAAATGTTATCAAGACCCACAGTGGAGAATTCTTCCCACTAGCCCTCCTCAGCTGCCACTGGAGTCGTTCCCTGCTTTGGGAGGTGCTGGCTGTAGGTAACTGACAGTCTGTGGGAACCTCTCATTCTCTTGTCCCTGTACACCTGGTCCAATTCCACTCCAGCTTCTTCATTTAGGAATCTGCCCCTTATGATTTCAGATTTAGACAACTTATGGGCACTTGGGGTCCAGGTTACTTCTGTTCAACTATACTGTGAACTGAGAAAGTTTTTTGAGTTGTTTGACAATATAGTAATTTAAACTTTTTAATGACATTACCATCTCTATTTCAAATAACTCATTTTCCAAAGGTCATTTGACAAAGAAGCCAATTGAAAGTGGAGTATCTGAATGCATTGTGTTCCGGTAGAGATGGGGTATGCAAAATAACTTTTCTAACTTCACAATAAATAGAAGAGTAAATTAAGAGCTTTGTCATTGGGTACTCCTATGTATGTTGATATTTAATGATTTATCTAGAGTACCAAAGGGCTGTTAAGTGAAACTACTGGGCAACCCTACTTTTGTCTTTCAATTTCAAACTAGGCAACCTTTTAGTTAAATGAAATCTGAAGCAGACCATATTCACATAAAAATAAGAATTGACATTTTTATTCTGCAGACATTTATAATTTAAAAATAAAAACTTAATGCAATGTGCTTATTGCAGCTTTAACAAACATAACATGGGAATATATTAATAACTGAGTCTTGGTGACTCAGGTTTATGATAATCAAGAGTAAGAGGGTAGACATAGCAGATCGAGGTTCTAATATCAGATCCGTCAATCAATAATCACTTCACCTAGGCCTTCATTCCTTCGTGTGTAACTTGATTGCCAAGATCCTCTCTAGTTTACATTTTATTAATAGTTATACAGTAACATGATATAATACATCAGGAACATCTAAGGTAGGTAGATAACCTTAATTTTCCCTTTCAATATTGGCTGCCTTTTGTACCTTTCCTCACCAATAATAGGTTCTCAAAAACTTGAATGTCTAGATTATATCCTTTCTGGCTATAACTGATATTTCTTATCTCTAGGATAATCCTTTCTGTTCTCTTCTGGCACCACCCATGCGTTTTCTTCTTGTTGCCCTGTCTACCTTCCAGTTAATGCCACTTTTTGTAGTATTTCCACCTTTCCCCTTCTCTTTTTTTTTTTTAGCCAATAAAGACACATTTTCAGATCAAATAAATTTGCTTCTGTAGCCTGCATTCTTTTGATTCTTTTTGTGAATGCTCCTATTCAGGGTGTTTTTGGTAGCTTAAAGGTTCAGAGTTCTATTTTCTCCCATCATCTAAGAAATAGTTTTTGAGCATTGACCATGTGCTAGAGACCATGATACTTATTTACAAATGTGCAAATAAAATTCCTTTAATGTGTTCCACCTTTAAAATCGGGAAGCAGTCAAACATGGTGGCTGCATACCTACAAATTGGGGGAAACTTCCAAAGTTCAAATTCTAAGACCTCCAGTTACAAGCAATGTGAACCTTGGGTAAGTTACGTTGCTGTGGCTGGTTTCCACTGTAAAGTGGAGATAATAGTTCCTACCACATAGGGTTATTTTGCTTTTTAAATAAAATCAGTAATATTCTTAGTATGGTGTATTTAAAACAGTTCTTGGCACATAGCAAACACTCAAATGTTAGTTAAGAGGAATTGATTTTATGCTGTGACTTAACTTTGACACACATAGCTGGGTTTACAATCTATTGTCAACCTAAAGAACCCAGCATTCCCATCACATCATCTGACGCAATGTTTGGACATGATTCTTTATGACAATTACCCGGGAAACTTTTTTGATCTTATTTATTCCAATTTCTGTTGACAATTATCAAATATAGGTATATTTCCTTAAAGGAAACTGGATATTAAATCTGGACTATAAAATAGGTTCAAGAATTCTGTTTTCCATAAGCACTTGAATATTAAAAAAAGAGAAAATTTTAAGAACAAAACACAAGTAATACTCTGCCACTGCTAAAAAAATTTGAAGCAGCAAAATATTAAGATTAAAAAAAACCCTGAAGACTTTTTTTTTAACAAGGCAAGAGCCAAGTAAAAAGGTATATATAATGGGTGAGGAGGAAGAAAAATCGTATCAGAGTACTTTAGCTAAAGGAAGGTATTGTAGTTGAAAATGCAACTTCATTTCCTCAGAGGGCAGCCAAAGCTACGAGAGAAACATGAGGGGTGTCCCAACTCTATTTCAATGAAAGAAAGCTCACCATTAATCAGGAGGAATACTTTTTTGTTTGTTTCTAAGTTGGCATGGGGTATATAGAAAACACTGATCATAATGGTTGAGACCTTTGATACCAGTTAAAAGAAAAAGCAAAGACATCCTAAATTTGGCAAATATCTTGTCTGATACGAGCCTCAGTGATTCCGTCGCCAATGCACCTCTCCCCCTAAACTGCTTTCCTCATAATCTTCACTTCAATAAAGGGCCATTCCATCCTTCCAGTGGCTGAGCCTGATTGAGCTGTTATCCTTGACTCTTCCTTCTTTCACACCCCATAGCTGAACTGCCAGTAAATGCTGTCAGTTCTGCCTTTAAAACATATTCAGAATCCCATCATTTTTTAAACCACCCTCACTGCCACTACCTTGATCCAAGTCACCATCATTTATCTCCAGGATTACTGCAATGGTCTCCCCAATCCCACCTCCAGTCTACTTAGATCCTATTAAAATATGTCACATCATGTCACTGCCCTGCTCAAAACCCAACAGTGGCCCCCATCTCACTCCGAATAAAAGCTGGAAGTCCCAGGGCATCCTCCATAATCTAGTTTCATCCCCACCCTCCAGTTAACCTGTCACTAGACTTCTTTGACCTTACCTACTACTCTTCCCCTTTTCATATACCACTTGTCCACACTGGCATCTTTGCTGTTATAAAAATATTCCAGGCATGCTGCTGTTTTAGGCCCTTTGCGATGGCTGTTTCCCTTACCTAAATGCTCTTCTCCTAAAGGCCATTCCCTTCTCCTTCTGCTCCTTCAGATCTTTACTTAAATACTACCCTGCCAGTGGGGCTTTCCCTGGCTCTATTTGATATTGCAAACACTACCCCTCCTGCCTCAGCACATGGCATTTGTATCTCCCTTTCCTGCTTTACTTGCCCCCTTAGCATAGTTCATTATTTCTATTGTGTTTTATTTTTGACTTTTTCTTGGTCATTTCTATCTTTCCTACTAGATTTCTATCTTTCCTACTAGAACACAAACACCATGAAGACAGGGATCTTTTTTCTTCTTGTTTTGCTTCCCACCCCCCTTTTTTCTGTCTCTGCTACATCACCCAGTTAAGTACAGGGCTTGGTGCATGGTGGGCATACAAAAATTTGTTGTAAGAATGAGTAGATAACATTTGAGGACAAGGCATTAAAGAATATTTATATATAAGAGTAATTCTGAAAGTGGGGGTGGGTGATAGAATAATAGAGTTCAGTTATGTAGTTTTGCTAATCTGATTTGTTTAGCACATAAAGAGAAAAGAATGAATTGTAGATCTATTAACCAGTGGTCTCTAAAGTGGGTAGCACAAGATGATCCATTGGGATGAGGGGTCAGAGTGTTAGAATTATGTTTATCTTATAAACTTAAAGACATAATGGGTGAATTTTCACTGGTGCCCTTAGTCTGTGTCAGCAGTTCATACATCACTTAAGATTCTTGAGGTATTGCAAGGGACGAGTGGAGTGGGAGTGAGTACTCAAATAATAGATATAATTAAATATTTACATTATTATTTATTCCTACCCTGCTTTACATGTACTAGAAGATTTTCATATAAGGGAAGTAAGCAATTATAGCTGCAAGAGGATAATCTGGTAAAAGACTCCTGCACCTGAATATATGCCTTCATGGTTTGCTTCATGACCCTAACACTCTAGATGAAGGGAAATTTAATTCCCTGTACAAATTAAGAAACATTTAAATATAAAGACTGCTTTGATAAAAGAGTTAAGCCACTAAGATTATCTTTCTTGACAGTACATTCAGGAGATCTAAATACAACTTTTTATCTTTCTTGGTCAGACATTCCCCTAAGACAAATGAGTAAGTAAAAGTGTTCCATTGGGCACTGACAAAATGGCAGAACCAATATTCAAAGTACTCAAACAGAAAATACCTAATGATTTAAATTGCCTGAGTTTTCAAAACTTAGAAAATGAACCAGGCTTTTTTTTTTAACCCCAGCTGCTAGAAGGAAATTCAGGTACTTTGGGAAGAACGTGAAACTTTTATGGTCGCCAAGGCACTATTTAGTCTACTATGCAACTTGCAAAGAGCCAACTCCCTAGCAGGGTTTAACTTAGAAAAGGCCTCAATTACTCAGCCACTAACAAAGTTCCTTTATTAATAAGTAAGAGATGCTTTCCAAAGAGAACCAAAGACCTTAAAGTATCACATTAAATGCAAACTCTTCATCTATTTCAAATGAATATTTTTGGAGTGTGGAGATTTGTCTACAATTTTCACTTCTGGTTTCCCATTCTTGGTTGTGCAAAAACGAATTCACAGAGACAAATTCAAATATCTATTTTGAAAAGTATTTACTTAGTTTGAATAAATTAATTGCAAATAAAAATTAAGCTACAATATATAGCCTGAATAGAAATGACTAGAACAAATACAACACAGGACTTGATTTCCTTGCATTAGTCACAATGCATGTGACAATCTAGAAAACTTCAAAATCAATTATATTTCTTTGATTTTGGGGTAACAGCAGTTACTGATACATCACAACTAATAAACTTATAATACAAGTTTCCTGACATGCATTTCCTGAGTGAACCCAAATGATCATTTTTAAAAACAAGGAAATTATGACAGTTGAAGTAAAATAAAACAGTTCATGGCTTCTAAGCATCAAATTTTGCTTTTTTAAAACCAAAAGAAAATTTAGAACAGCATTGTAATATGATAAATTAAAGCTATGCTATCACATACAAAAATTTGCTACAATCAATTAAGCATTATACAATTATTCAAAATAAAAGAAAACAAATCAAAAGGTTAAAATATGATTCTGTTTAATCTAAAAGTGTACTGGTTTCTACAAGTGTCAAAAAAGGGTCTGATGTAGTGCAACTGTCTATACTTTTCTTGCGGTACATTTTAAAAAAGGGTGGGAGCAGGAGGGGAGAAGAGGAGAAACTTGTTCTTGCTTCAGAAAGCAAAGGATTTATTGAAATCAGAGAATAAATAGACCATGCAAGTGTGTCCCTCCACTCTGCTGTCATCAGTGCTCATCTGCCAACCAGATGTTTACTGGAGTCCACTGTGGCAACTGTCCTTAGGATTCAGGCCCACGGTTAAGGCTGGCCTGTTAGGTTAAAAAAGGGGGGCACTATTTTCATGTGACCCTTTATATCTCTGCATTTCCTAATGTCTGGATAAGGCCAAATACAGAATGATTAATTAATTAAGCATTTCTTTTTCCAAAAGCAAATCAAGTCATTCTCCTTTCTTGTTAATTTATGCTTTTTCTTATGGGATTGATTTTTTTTCTAGAAACAGTGAACAGATGAACGACAGTTTATATCCAAAAAATAAACTTGCCAAATGTTGCTGATACTAAAAACAGATTAGTTATTGTGGGAGAAAAATAGATAATCTAGATTAATTGCATATTCAAAGGAGCATATAAAATGTTTCTTAGCATTAAGTTTTTGTTATAGTACTACACTCGAGAGAAACATTAAGGAAAAAAATATTCCTGATTATCTTCAATGTGGTTAAAAACAAACATCTCTTACACAATGGTAATTAATATGAATTTGGTTTTACAAAGTATTCTAATTTACCAAATTCCATATTTAGATGGGGATGGGGAGAGAGGCTTTCCTGTCCTTCTTCCTAACTTTACAAATCCTTGAGCTATGTGCTCACTAAGCTACCATTCACACTAAGAGTGTGACACCATCATTACCATGCTACTCTATCAAGAACATTCTAAGATATTTTCTATAATAAAGATAAATAGAAAAAGTTAATATACATGTCGCTGTATTTTACAATGTTTGCAACAAACTGTAAACTAACATAGTTTGAACCAACAGTACCCTCAGTTGTACAAAACAATTTTTCAACACTGAGGATGGGTGATTCAAAAACACTAAAATGAAGGCATCAAATTAGACTATGTCTTTTTTTCCTCAAAATATATTTTCAAAACTCAGAATTCAGAAGACTGGTACTTTCAGAAATTCTTTTGCTTGAGTTTCCCAGATTTTTGTTCAGAAATTGCTATTATTTATTATAAATGTTTTAAAAAATTCTTCATCTTAATGCAAATAACCAGAGCAGAAAAACTGTGACGTGAACAACAGGTTTGAAAACCCACTCACTTAGCTTATAAATTTATAATGCAGTCCTGGAGGACAACTGTCTGTTAGTCTAGAGGTCCTTGGAAAATAAGTCTGATGTAGCCTTGTTCACCAGCCAACTGATGTGCACAAAAGGGACAGGCTGCATGAAAAGTATGAGTACCATGAGGAAGTGGGATCTGGGACCAATAGGCAGTTGTCTTTTCTGAACACACATGCCCACACGGGCTAAACGCATGGGTTGGAGGGCCGGCGTCCACATAAAATCCAGCTTCACATCCAAGCCACAGAGGAACATAGGGACCAACAGACCTACACATAGGACATTCACGATCTTTTCCATCACGTTCTTCTTTGTTTCCCCAGTTATGATAGCCGTGTACATGGCCGCAGTTTAGATATACCCATGGTTGTTTTTCATCTACAACATCTTTCCTCTTCATACTAGGAAATGCGAGTGTGTTGAAACCTACAGGGCACTGAGGTCGCGCTGCATTGATTTCCTGTCTTAAAGCTTCTAAATGCTTCACCGTGGGAGTGTGGGAAAGGCCTTCTGCAGTACGCCACAGCAACGTTGCACCACAGAGGTCAATTAACGAGCCATCTTGTAACTGATTGGTTTCAATTTCCACCTAGAGGAGATAAGAATAAAAAAACACATTCACCACTCTGTTTTGGATGTTTACCTGAGAATTTTGGTCTTACGTGCTCCTTATTCAAGAAATGACTTTTCCTAGGATTATCACTAAATATTCAAGAAACTCTGATGGCATCCATGAAAAATATGTGTTTGAAAATCAAGGATAAAAATATCAAATAGTAACATCTCTTTTTAGCCTTATAGTAAAGACCACTTATGACTAAAATATCTGGCTATTCAATGTCTATTATTTGTAATTAGGTAGATATGTTCAAAGATATATAGATTTAAGTAGAAAGATCAGAGTGCTGGTTAATTTAGGAAAGCTTAGGTTTTAAAATATATTAACGTAATATGACAGTAGAATAAACTTTTAGAGTTTTCTACATGAAACATTAAAATACTCTCCTCTAGTATAATATGGTAGTCAGCCTTTGATAGTCACACTTAGTACTCTGTGTCAGCAATAGATTAAAAAGTTTTTTTGGAATGTATGTAATACATCTGGTCCAATTCATCCTATGTGTTTACTGTAGCTAAATAAGAAGCTACAATTTAGAGCTTACCATTTTTCCTCTCTGCTGGGCTGATCTGGTTTCACGCAGGCTAAACACATTTCCACACACAGATATTTCTCTCCATATTCCAGGCTTAGAGTCTTCTGTAAAGCCATTGCGCGGATGCATCACAAGAACACCATTAGTGGTCAAGCCATCCATCTGCCCATCTGATGTCTTCCATTTGGCAGCCTTTTCCTAGTAGAAATAATAGTAGTAAGGTTCCATTTATTTGTAATTTGGAAACAGAAGCTGGTACATAAAAAAGAATCATTTAAGAAAAAAGCTTCTTACCCCAAGAAAGATGTTTTTTGATGAGTCAAATCCTGCAGCATAAATCCGTGCTGTAAAGGGGGGATTCCGTTCACAAATGATTCTACAGGCAAACCTTGATATAGTGCTTTGTACTGACTGTGTATCAGAATTACTTTGACTTCCAGGAACTGTGTCAGTTACTACAAAATCAATGGGACTTTCAGTTGACCGACCAATCTAAGAGAAAAAAAAAATACCAATAGGCCTTTTCAAAAAGCACAGTGGAAAAATCCATTTAAGAAAGGCACAATAAGGAAAAAACATTAAGCCACTGAAATTTCTAAATCTCAAACTTATAATTAACTTTGGGTGTATCTATACCCTTGAAAACTAATCTGTCAGTCTTTCTCTGATGTAGTAATCACTTAGAGCACAGAATTAAGTGGGAACTTAAGACAATATATGAAACCCTCAGGGAATGAGGAATTCAGGATGGGTAAGATTTCTAGATGGCTGTAGACTTTAATTTTAACCCTTTTGGATGGAAATATGTTTACCATGTATTACTCTACCTTCTTTAAGAGAATACAGTGAACATGTAAGTAAATCTTTTATGATTATTCCAGGACATTACACTATGAATATCATCTATATTTACCTAAATGCAGTGATGTCTTCAGCAGCTATAAGAGATGTACAAGACTGCTCATCATTACGTTAAGGGCTTGCATAGCCTTGTTTTGAAGTCTATGTACACTTCATAGATTTTCCTGTTTCTTCTCTGTCACATTGCCAGCTATCACTCCTTGCCTTTGGTAATACTTGTTTCTATCAACAAGCCCCTCCTCTAACTAGCTACTCTTATTCTGCCATGGGTAGAGAAATCAAATAACCAACTTCAAAGAAGAGTGTTTTAAAAGATTCTTGGTTGAGAGCCTAAGGGATTCTCCAGGGAGCATAGAAAAGGAATTTTAGTACATGGACTTTGTGGCATTTATTTTACATGCCTAGATGTCCTTTATATTTTCTTCCTGGTTCTTGGCCATATTCAAAGAAATAAGGTTCCCAGATAAGAGTTTTGGATAGGTGAGGTGCCAGAGAATTAAAAACATCTTCAGAGGTACTAGCTAGTAGATAAATTAATTTCACCTTGAAAGTTGAAAAAGGAAATAAGTGGAATAGATGACAAAAGTGACAAGTGTCACAATGTTTTAAAGTAAACATTTAGAAATTATCAGCTTGTTAATTTATTTGTTATAAAGTAGTATCAATAAATTGAAGAATGTGGGTACTGACAAGAAATATTGACCCTCTACAAAGACAATAACTTTTTTTAAGCATTGACTATGCAGAGTAAAGGATGATAACTCTTAAAAGTTACTCTTCACATAGTTGAGCCTCAAGAGTTCCTCATATCAGCACACTTTTAGATAAAACCCTTCAGTGTTTTGTCTAATCATCAAGTATAAAGTCCTTATATTTAGTTTGGACAGTTTTAGGGGGAAATTGATTGGTTAACAAATGTAAAATTGGATGTCCCTTTTCTTTATTTTTAAGACAATGATATCCAAAGAAAATGGACTCAGACCTTTGACACTAAAAATGTTTCCAAAAATAAAAAGGCTTTTTAAGAGCCAAAAGATGCAGGTCAAGGATTGAATTGAAGATTAATATCCAGAATCAAGCAGAAACAGCATTTATTTGGGAAGAGAGATTGTAGCAGTAAGTTGACATTTGATCTGTGTCTTGGAGGAGAAGACTTAAGACATCAAAGAAATACTGGTAATGACAGTGAGAAGGAAGAAATCTTATTTATTTATAAGGAGAAAAAAAACCTACATGAATGTGATCAGTTGCCAAAATGTGACTGTATATTAGTAATTCTTCCTCTACCTGCTATTATTAGTTTAAAAATATAGGTCTTATCATGTCACTCTCCCCTACTCCATGAGAAATTATAATAGTTCTTAACAGCTTATCCAAACTTCTTTACATTCTTCTTTCCAATAACAGTTAGAAACTGACTCAAGATTTGTCTTCCATCTACCAGTCCAGCCTAATTTCCTGCTATTTCTGTATACCAAGTATACTTAGTTATGAGTCGTTTATTCATCAATCTTTTACCACACTGTGTACTTCTTTTCCCACAAATCTTTTCTACTGGTTGTTCCTACTTAATCTGATAAAAAGATCTAGATAAAAAGATAATACTGTAAAGTCTTTTCTCCATCCTTCTTCAACCCAATCAAAAGTCTACTTCCATAGACCGTCAGTGCAGCACTTAGGCATTTAATCATCCCTTATCTCCCTTATTTCTTCAAAGTGCCAAGCAATGCACAGAGTTGGAGTATGAATATCTGATGGCTTGAACAATAAATGTTCTTGTTCAGTTTAGAGGGTGGACAATCCTAGAATGTTTATAATACAAGTTCCTCAAAGACTGACTAATTTATTAAAGTAGTTTCTGATATGTCTCAGACTTTTGATGCAGAAATGCTTAGATTTTTCATTGAAATGCTCATAGAAAGGGCATAATCAGTTTATAATACTGGGAAAAATTCTTTATGAAAAAGGAGAAAACCAAAAAGGTTGCAACTTATTTAAGGACATTCATTAAATGGTGAAAACACTGTTCCAGAATTCAGGATGCCTGGTTTAATCTCAATTCTGTCCCCTAGTAAGTCTATAATGTTTAACTCATAAGATTTCAGTTAACTTCATCTACCAAAGGGGTAAACAAATAAAAGTAAGGTAATTTTTGAAGCTAAAATTCTAGTCTGCGATAAAATATCTTTGTAGCATCTTGATTTGGAAAATGCTAATTATGCCCATTCATTTTAACTGCTTGTTGGTACAATAAAATGGGAAAAATCATCCCAAAGCTTTGTGTCAGATTTTTTCTTGAATCTAAACCTTCATCTACATTAAGGATATCATTTATTTATTTTTGGTAAAAGCTAGGAAGGCATAAACAAATACCCACATTCTAATATTAACTAGAGAAAAAAATTTAGCAACTCATTAAAAGGGTTAGGTGGAGGGAGTGACTTCAAATAATTATTTTGCTATTGATTAAAACTAAATATATTTATGGACCTTTTCATCTTTATTTAGCATTGTAAAATAAAGAAAAATAGAAAAGTCACTGGGACAATAATTATAACAACAACATTATCAGGCAATCTATGCCCTACTTAATTTTTAAAAAGCCCAAAACTTTAGAGAGCTCAATATTAAGGGAGAAAACAAAGGATTTCGTAGGAATTAGGCTTGATTTTTTTGGGCTTGACTATCCTAAAATCTATTGGTTTATAGAAACATCAGACTGGACTGGTACAGAGAACAAGAGAAAAATAATTCTACTGTACCTGTACCTTTGACCAAATATGTGCTGAGAAACAAGTTTGGTTTCACATGTGTGGTATGAATAGCTAGAAACTGCCTGAACTTTTTGTTGCCTAACAAGGAAAGTGAGAAATGAGGGCAAAAAAGGTTATACATGTGTGTAGAATATTTCTTGGTTTCTTTTTCTGGATGATAATAGCCAACACTTGCTAAGCGTTTACAGGGTACCTGGCATAGCTCTGAATACTTTACATGTACTAACTCATTTAAGCCTCCTAAAAGTCATGAGGGAGATTCTGTACTTTATAGGGGAAAAACTGAGGCACAGAGTAGCTAAGTACTATTTACCAGGAATTCTGATTCCAGAGCCTTTTTTTTTTTTTTTTTTGTCTTGCTTTGTTGCCCAGGCTAGAGTGAGTGCTGTGGCATCAGCCTAGCTCACAGCAATCTCAAACTCCTGGGCTCAAGAAATCCTGCTGCCTCAACCTCCTGAGTAGCTGGGACTACAGGCATGTGCCACCATGCCTGGCTAATTTTTACTATATATATTAGTTGGCCAATTAATTTCTTTCTATTTATAGTAGAGATGGGGTCTCACTCTTGCTCAGGCTGGTTTCGAACTCCTGACCTCAAGCAATCCGCCCGTGTCGGCCTCCCAGAGTGCTAGGATTACAGGCGTGAACCACCGTGCCCGGCCCCCAGAACCTTTCTTAACCATGCTACACACACAGATTTCTATAGATAAGGTTTAGAAATCAATATATATTTTAGTGAAATACATTATTAAAATGATAATCCTTTATCTGACTATAGCAAAAGTCACCAACAATAGATTTTTAACTTTTTTGTTTTTTAAGAAAAAACAGTTCAGATGTTACAATACCTGAAACATATCAGTGTTGCTGTCATGAGTATATTCAACCACCACTGTCTGGGCCCGAGATAAAGTATATGATATGCTATGCTGGTCCTTGTTGCTTATTGCCTAAGAATGAAAAGGTTAATAGTAAAAATTAGTAGGCAGATCAAATAAATCAGATTATCTTTTGATTAAGAAAAATCTATCTCATATATTTATTTCCCCCTTGAAATTTAAGGTAGAAGTTAATAACTGTTGTATAACTTCAACTGTGAAAGTAGTTTCTTAGGTTGAGTGGGGTATAAAAGAATATTAAGAAGCAGTTACAGAGTAAGAATATAATTTCATTTTCCCAAAACTGTAAAATTTGGGTTTCCCTTATAAGTATTTTAAATTGTAAAGTAATCAAAACCAAACCCCATGTAGAAACTAAAAACAAAACTGAGTACTGCTCTGGTAAAAATAAAACAAAAAATCTTGGAAAAAAAGAGGACTCTTATTTATGTCATTCAAAAAGTTATAAAGTTTACTCATAAGCAGAGTTAATTGGTTTCTAATAATTTTGTGACTCTACAGACAACAAATGTTTGCCATATGCTGGGCTAGATACAGAAAAATTCACAGAATGATTAAACATTACCAAAGGAAAGGCATATAATGCTTATGACTATACCTCTGACTTATCCCAAACTAAAAACATTGCTAAAAAGGACTTTTCAGTTTTGTTTTTAGGCATTTTCTATGGATATGAGTTGAAGATAGTGTCAAAGGGGGGAAAAACCTAGTCATCACACAAAGGAAGTAGAAACAGGTTGTGTAAAAGAAAAACAGATACAAAGACACAAGAGAGCGATTATACACAGCAAAGAAACTAAATAAAAAAATGTATTTTAGGTAGAAGTTTGGCATTATAAACTTTTACTTGGTTTCAATTTGTAGCTAATCTATAATAGATAAAGCATTAAAATATGGCTTTAAGATTAATTAAATTTGTCAAATTTTCAAATATACAAAGAGAATATACAAATATCCAGGTAGTAATTACTCAGCTTTATCAAAGCTTAACAATGCCACTTTTGATTCTGAATCTGTTTTCTTTTTTTTTTAGAAATTAAATTACAGACACAATTGAGGCTGCTTACATGTCCCTCCCTATTCCCTTTTCCCCACAGAGGTATCTGACCTCAAGAATGCAGTGTCAATCATTTACATGCATATTGTTAATATTTTTTACTATATACTTATCTATTCAGAAACATTATATAATTGTTTTATAGGTTTTAAAACCTATAATTTAACTATAACTTAACTCAGCATTAAACAACTCATTTTTCTTTCTTTCTTTTTTTAACTTCTTTTTAGAGCCTTGTTCTCACTATGCTGCCCAGGCTGGAGGGCAGTATCTATTCTATAAGCACAATCATAGCACACTGTAGCTTCAAACTCCTGGGCTGAAGTGATCCTTCTGCCTCAGCCTCCTGAGTAGCTGGGACTACAGGCACGTCCCACCACACCTGGATAAACTGCCTTTTCAATCAAAAAATTAGTATTTTGAAAATTAATTCCTAATGGCTAAAGGGATTAAAAAAGCTATGGTTTTTGTGTGCTTTGAGATTGTAAAATCTTTGTTTTTTAGCTATTAAACCTACTCTTAGATGGAGAATAAGAACTATGTCAAGTTTGCGTCTCACTGGACTGGAAGGCAGGATTTTAACCATACATCCCAGATGATTGCCAGACTAAACACTTAGTTTTCTTCAAGACCTCACTAACACATTCTTTAAAAATTTAAAGAGGAGGCCGGGCGCTGTGGCTCACGCCTGTAATCCTAGCTCTTGGGAGGCCGAGGCGGGCGGATTGCTCAAGGTCAGGAGTTCAAAACCAGCCTGAGCAAGAGCGAGACCCCATCTCTACTATAAATAGAAAGAAATTAATTGGCCAACTGATATATATATATATAATTAGCCGGGCATGGTGGCGCATGCCTGTAGTCCCAGCTACCTGGGAGGCTGAGGCAGTAGGATCACTCGAGCCCAGGAGTTTGAGGTTGCTGTGAGCTAGGCTGACGCCACGGCACTCACTCTAGCCTGGACAACAAAGCGAGACTCTGTCTCAAAAAAAAAAAAAATTTAAAGAGGAAAGAGTCAATCTTTGATCCTTAAGATTCTTGTTGCCTGGTAAAGATGAAAAGGAGAAGACAATGAAAACATGAAGGAAATGAGAGTAAAAATGGGAAGAAAAATACAGAATAATACAGAGGTATGGATTAGAAATATTTTCCCTGATAGTAGTTTTCAACCAAAGGTAGGACTGACTGTCTAGGGGGCATCTGAAAAAATTTAAGTGCATTTTTTGGCTTACAAGGATTGGAGGACTCAATATTTGGTATTTAGTGGGTAGGAGACCAAGAATATTAAATGTCCTGTAATATGTGGGACAGTCCTGCACAATGAAGAATAGGCACACCCAAAGTGCCAAGAGCATTCCTGCAGGAAAATACTGTAAGAAGCTCCTCAGCTTGGATCAATAAGCCATTCACTTCTACCACTTGCTTACCACATCCATTCTCTGCAAAGAAGAGAAACAGCCAAACTGTCCCTTTTCTACACTTACTGGCTCCCAAATACTAACAAAACAGTCCTAGTCAAGGCTTGAGGACTCTGTTTTACACACCAAACTGGATATAAAACCAAGCTGAAAACTCAATTAACTTCAGAGACTAAAGCTGTGACCTAAAACAGGGCATCATATCTTACTATCTCTTGTTTATTTAACTTACAATGATATATCTCAGATAGTATAATATTAATGTACATCCTAGGGCTACTTAGGTAAAGATACCGGTATTTCCAGAAGTCAGAGAACTCTTTATAATTTTCTTATTTGCTCACAACAGTATCAAATTCAGTCTGTTATAATATAAAATTGGAAGCAGAGGAATTCACAGAAAACTCAAAGATCTGAAATTACTCCTACTTGTCTATCACTCTAGGAAAAGCCTAAACATCTTGAAATGATGGTCCAGTTTCTGGAGATTTTGTTAGGAAAAGAAAAAGGGGCTAGAAAGCACTAAGTAGACCAGAGGGTTGAGAAGTTATATTGTAGATGCAGTTAGGCATTTGCTTTCATACCTTTGTTTCAATTTAATAATTACTGAGGTCTACTTTGTACAAGGCATTATGCTAAAAGCTATGAGAGTCATGAAACAAAAACAAAGGCAAGAGAATTCACAGAATCTTCGATAAAGTCCCTTAGTTAAAAAATTACTTCATCCAAACATGTTTCTAATACCTGAATACACATATTATACACCACAATCCTCACCCAGCCCAGGTGAGGCCCCTCTAGTAACAGAGTGGGAACTCCCTACCTCTTAGGGTAGACAGCTGCACAATTCTGAGTACTATTTAATAGATAAAGGTCTGGCCCCATCCCCACCTCTTTTAATAAGGAAAGGGAATGTTTCCTTCTAATTTCCACTCTCTAATCCTGGTTTGTCATAAAAAAGTCCAATTCCCCTTCCATATGGCTGCCCTTCAAATACCATGTCTCCCAAGTCTCTTCTCCAATCCAAACAAAAGGAAATTTCTGAACCAGAAATGTGAAGGGAATGCTAGAGAATATAAACAACACATAAAGGCATAAAGGTCTTTCAATTTCTCCATGTTAATTTATTCAGCCTTTTTTTTTTTTTTACCTTTGCAGCCTGAGGAGTACAAGCAATATGCACAGTGCTGGGCTTCACCCCATTTGCCTTAGGTCTTTTAAACAAAGCAAATCTACTTTTCCTCCTTCCTCTATCGCCGTTTGGGAGAGACCCATTATACCTGATGGAGGGAAAAAAAAGTTTAGGTGATCTCCTGTAAGAATTGCACAATTATGAAACAAATGTTTTACTTTGCCTTGCAGAATCAATCTCCAATTAATTATCTATTAGCACATTATAATTATCTCAAATTCCCTTTAGCAATTGCTTATCTCCAGACCAGCTGCCAGGGCGTAAATAAAATGAGATTCTTTCTGGCTACACCCTAAGTCACAAAGAAGTACCTTTTGGATTATCCATAGATTTACTTATATTTTTTTCTTTCCTCTTTTATTGAAAATAATAAAGAGCTAATTAATAGCATATATGATTCCTTATGAATCATTCTATTTTTTTTAAGGTGAATGTTTGCATTCACCTTTAAAAAGTACAGTATGTATTGTTTAAAACAGAATCTCCTTTAATTGTGAACCAAACACTTTAAATAGCTGAACTTCTGAAATATCAGAATTCTTAGACTTGTTTGGTAAGTGTGAATATACATATACACTTTCATATTATGTTAGCAGAACCTGTCAAATTGACATGTCTGCTAAGCAGTAAACATACTTTTATTGTTTAGGTATGACCATTTCTCCATGATAATAAATATCTGTATCTATATATCTATGTTATCAAGCAAGGATTGAACCAATAGGAAAAAAGTAAAAAAAAAAATCTGGGTGTTTACTATATACCAGGCACTACGGGTTCTATCCCATACATCACCTCACTTAATCTATCTTCACAAAAACTCTGCAAGATTGGTATCATTGTCCCCATTTTTACAAACAGGCTCAGAGAAATTATTTTCTGAAAGTCACATATGTGATGCCAGCAAAGCCAGTATTTGAATCCAAGTCTGTTTGTCATGCTATTATGTTATTCTTTATTGCTTCACTGAGGCATAAACAGTAGTTTAATGATAATCTTTCCTCATTCACTGCCCACACCCCTGACAAAATCTTTTGATGATCTCCCATATATAGTTAGTTGGTCAATCTGGGGGGAAATGAGGCAGGGAATAGGGACAATTTTGAGATTGAAGAGGAAGTGATTATAAAATGGCCTGCGATAATGGCTGACAAGGAACAATCATGTTTTAAAGCTGAGAGGAAAGTTTACTCTATGTCTGCCATTTACAGATAGAAATTACAGTGACCCTTTATAAAAAATAAAATGCTTTGTATTGGAGAAAGCCCTTGCTAATCTTGCTAGTCTTGCTATACATGCAAAGTACAGACCCTCAGCTAATACATTAATTTTGCTATTCTAGGCTATGTGTTGCCACCAGGCCCACTCTGGATTTCTCATTTCTTTCACTACTGTCCTCTGAATTGCGTTAACTTATCCTTCTTCCAGATTTATGCTCTTCAGTCCCATGTTGTTTTCCTGGAGTTCAAAGATCTTTTTTAAGTAGCAAAAGCTTGAAACGGAGTGAACTGAAGAGAGCTTAGAAGAAGCATTATTTGCATTTTAAGACAGAAGTGCCAGATATAGACACATCTGTTACTGCTAATGATTAACTAAGAAACTTCTAGGCTATGAGCAGTTTAAAACTATATACTAAGTTTTAAACTCTATTCTTCAAATGATTGCCAAATTTCCTGCTAGAAGAATTTAACTTGGAATAGTTTTTGATAGTTAAAAGTTGTTTGTCATTAATACCATTAAAATCCATGTGATTTGAAATTGTAATATTATAGTTACTATATTAAGTTTATGGTCAAATTTAAGCTTTTTGAGAAAAAAAATTTAAGTCTCAAAGGGCCTTAGATGATCTTGTGTAACTCATTTTACTAGAGGAGGTAACTAAGGCGAGGCACAGAATGGTTAAGTGACTTGCCCAAGGCCATACAGCTAGCAGCGTTGGAATAAGCCCTGGACTCTAGGATTCCTGACTTCCAATCAAGCATGATAACTCCATATTATCACCCCAGTTTCTCTTACTCTCTGCATTTGAAACAACACATTCTCACTTAAACAAGAACTTATACCAACCGGATTCCAAACATTGCAATGTGTAAAGCTGCTTTTTAGGCAGATGAGGAGAAACAGCAGGGGGAAAGCAAATTTTACAATTTCTCATTTCTGACATCTCTAGTTAACAGAGGCTAACACCATGTCTCCATTTTGATAGTTATGGCAAGTTTAAATTGATTAAATTGGAATAATTTGGAATGATGGAATTATCTATTCCTCAATCTTTGGATTATGTATCTGGGAGTTACATGGATAAGATTACTTGAAGCAAACAGGTTGCTAAGTCCTGGGCTTCAGAGTTATTATGCTGCAGTCATATGCCTATATAATTCCTTAAATCAAGAAGTACAGCACAAAGCAATAACTACCTCAAAGGGGCAAAAGAATAAATAAATACTTGCCTGCATGAAATGACCTTAAAGCAGAAGGCAAAGGGAATTTGTGGTAAAGTCAGTGAAGGCAAATTTTTGTAAAAGATGGAATATGGAAGACAGATGGAATGACTATGTGACATTAGACAAATACAATTTTCATCTCATCTTTTAAGAAACTTTGCCCCTTCTGTGGGTGAGGGTGAGACAAAGTTTATACAGTGTTTGAGTACTTATAAAAGATGGCATAAATCTGAGAATTAAGAGAGTTTGATTTGGTAACATTACCTTGTAACTTTAAATTCTTTTTGGAAGTACCTAATATAAATCCTAAAAAATGTACTTTTAACCTAATGCCAAAGTTAGTATATATTATTCAATTTTTTTTATTCTATAAGCACAATCATAGCTCACAGCAACCTCAAACTCCTGGGCTCAAGCGATCCTCCTGCCTCAGCCTCCCGAGTAGCTGGGACTACAGGCACGAGCCACCATGCCCGGCTGATTTTTATATTATATATATTAGTTGGCCAATTAATTTCTTTCTATTTTTATGGTAGAGACGGGGTCTCGCTCAGGCTGGTTTTGAACTCCTGACCTTGAGCAATCCGCCCGCCTCGGCCTCCCAGAGTGCTAGGATTACAGGCGTGAGCCACCGCGCCCGGCCTTATTCAATTTTTATAACTTATCAGATGGAGAAACCTTACCCTAAGACAATGAGTTCACCATATTTTACTGGTGCTTTAGATGGATGATTTTCTTGATCAGGAGAAAACATGAGCTTGGCTGTCTTTCTCAAATCTTTGTGCACTGGTCAGGAGCCTTGGGACACCTTTTGCATTATTTCCTAGAAGGGAAAAGTTTTCATTAATAATGTGAACAATGAATTTCAGTTTCAATAAAGATGTTATTTTCCAGCAGTCCTCTTGAGTACAGTATTATACAAAGCATTACATGGTTAATAATATATATGACATTTTGCCCAATAATGGTTATATGTTCGACAAAACTGTTTAAATATATCAAAAATGTAAGTTTGGGGACTTTCACTTACAGGAAGATGGAGCAGATGTACTTTTCTCTGTTATTTCTGCTAAGTACAACTGAAAACCTTGGACATTATATATAAAACATATATAAGAAGACTATGCAAAGTGGAGAGAAGACAGATTAGGTAAGAGACCTTAGGATCCACGGAACAACATGGTGGTATGAGTTCTCTGGGTTTTCTTTTTTCCTAATATAACCCAGGCTTGGAGTTAAATAAGTCAGCAATCTGGAAATGCCAACTGGCAAGGCAAAAAAAAAAAAAAAAAAAAAAAGCCACAACAAAAGCTTACCTCTCTAGCCAAAGCAAAAAGAAAGGGACAGACAGCCTAGCAAGACAGAAAACTTTTGGCAATAACATCTCTAAAACCACAGAAAGCACTGTGGTCCCACCACCTCTCACACCAACAAGAGCTAAGTGGAAAATTCAACTTCTACCTTAAAAACTATAATGAGGAGGTCCAATGCCCAACTAGAGCAGCAGCTGAGTAGGCCAAGTAGGGAGCTAGGACTTTCACACCAATGGCCAGGCATGCCCCCACATCTACCCCAGTGTTATCAGTGGACACTATGTGGGGAACCTGGACTTTCATTCCCATCCAGCAATAGTAAGAAGAATCCTCTTCCCTCAATTGTGAATGGAAGCTGAGTAGGGAACATGGACTTCTATATCTACCTGACAGTAATGAGGTGGCACCCCATATTACCCTGCCAAAGACATGTCAGAAAAAGCCAGTGGAAACAGAAGGTTTAGATCAGGGGTCCTCAAACTTTTTAAACAGGGGGCCAGTTCACTGTCCCTCAGACCGTTGGAGGGCCAGACTATAGTTTTAAAAAAACTATGAACAAATTCCTATGTATACTGCACATATCTTATTTTGAAATAAAAAAACCAAATGGACAAAAACACCCACATGTGGCCCACGGGCCGTAGTTTGAGGATGCCTGGTTTTGATAAGATCCAGAGTCTCTGAATATAATAAGAAAATGTCTAAGTTTTAATACAAAATCACTCATCATAACAAGAACTAGAAAGATTTTTTTTTTAATGTAAAAAGACAGTCAATAGACGCCAAAACTGAGATGGATAGAGATGTTAGAATTACCTGACAAAGTTTTAAAAGCAGCCATGATGAAAATGCTTCAATAACCAATTACAAAATATACTTGAGACAAGTGAAAAAAATGCAAAGTCTTAGCAAAAAATAGAAGATATAAAGAAGCAGCAAATTACAATATTAGAACTAAAAACTACATTAACCAAAATAAACTGTTCACTAGCTAGGCTCAGCAGCAGAATGCAGGAGACACAGTAAAGAATCAATGAACTGAAAGATAGAATAGTAGAAATAACCCAATCTGAACATCAGAGAGAAAATAGGGGGGGAAAACTGAGTCTCATGGACCTGTGGGACTATAGAAAAGATCTAACATTTATGTCACTGGAACCCAAAAAGAGAGAAGAGCAGAGCTGAAAAAGTACTCAAAAAATAATGACTGAAAACCCATCAAATTTGGAAAGAGAAATAGAATTATAGATTCAAGAAGCTGAACAAATCCCACAAAGAAAAAACTAAAACAAATCTATGCCCATCAGAATCAAACTTCTAAAAAGTAAAGGCAAAGAATATATTTTGAAAGCAGAGAGAAACACCACCTTATCTATAGGAGGAAAACAATTAGAATTGACAGATTTCTTATCAGAAACCATGGAAGCCAGAAGACAGCAGCATAATATTTCCTAAGTGGACAGGAAATTAAGACATTCTCACATGAGGGAAAATTAAGAGAATTTGTCACCAGCAGACCTACCACAAAAGAATGGCTAGAGGAAATTTTCTAAATAGAAAAGAAATGATAATAAAAAGAACCTTGACATATCAGAAAAGAAGTAAACATATGATAGTGAATGAGTAAATACAATAAGCTTTCTTTTTCTTGAATTTTCTAAATTATGTCTGATGTCTAAAGCGAAAATTATAACACTGTCTTATGTTGCTCTAAAATATGAAAAGGAAATATTTAAGACAATTATATTGTGCTTCTGACTATTTATTTCAGGGAAATGACTTATATCCACACAAAAATCTATATACAAATGTTTACAACAGCTTTATTTATAATAACCAAAAACTGGAAACAACCCAGGCGTTCTTATTGAGTGAATAATTAAACTGGTACATCTATACCATGGAATACTACTCAGCAATAAAAAGAAACAAACTATCAATAAATGTAATACAGATTAATCTCCACAGAATTATACTGAGTTAAAAAAACAAACTAATCTCAAAGGTCCCACAAATGATTCCATTTATATGACATTCTTGAAATGACAAAATTATAAAAACAGAAAGCAGATTAGTGGGTGCCAGGAGTTAAGGAGGGCGTGGGAGTAGGAGGAAAGTAGGTTTGGCTATAAAAGGGCAATAGGAGGGGCCCCTGTAGTGATGAAAATGTTCTGTATCTTTATCAATGTCAATATCCTGTTGTGATATTTTACTACGGTTTTGCAAGATGTTACCATTGGGGGAAACTAGATAAAGATTATGTGCAATTACCTCAAAATAAAAACTTTAAGTAGGCTGGGCATGATAGCCCATGCCTGTATTCCTAGCACTTTTGGAGGCTGAGGCAGGAAGATCACTTGAGGCCAGGAGTTCAAGACCAGACTGAGTAAGAGCAAGATCCTGTCTCTATAAAAAAATAGAAAAATTAGCCAGGTGTGGTGGTGCATGCCGGTAGTCCCAGCTACTTGGGAGGCTGAAGCAGGATTGTTTAAGCCCAGGAGTTTCAGTGAGCTATGATGACAAACTAGCTTGGGCAACAGAGCAAGACCCTGCTGCCAAAAAAAAAAAAAAAAAAGAAAGTTTAATTACAAATTATAAAAAACAAGACTAACACTCTGATACGCCAGAAAAATCACTACGATAAATAATTCCCCATACTATCATGTCTATTTCATCAGTAATTTCCTATATCTATTTCTTTTCCCTGGTCCCTGATAGACCTGTTACAAAGGCTTCAGAGCAAAACTCTTACTAGCTAACCCATACAAGTCTCCTGGTTTTATACCTCCACCAATAGGTTTCATAGGAAACACATGAATAAAAAATATCTAATTGTCTTTTTCTATAGTACAGTGAAATATAACCTATATAGTATAATTTTTGGAGAGAAGGCAACACAGAATATTTGTAGCCAAATGAATAAGAATAAATTAAAGGAGAAGGCTTTGCCATTCTAACCCTCTTTAATCCCTTGGAATTGACATACACATTCAGACTGGCAATTCAGACAAATATGCTAATTTCTATTGTCAGTAAATTAAAAACATTTTCTCCATTTAAATACAGTAAAAATAACCTCTCATCTCCTCAGATAATCATAAAAGATTACAAAAACCAATACACTGGTATTTTATACCAATGTACATTGTAATTGTGAGACATTAGAATTGCGCTGAAATGTTTTAGTAAGTAAAAATATACTGATCAAATTCCCTATTTGGGAAAAGACACATGCTAAGTTAACTAACACCTTCAATGTAAAAATTTAAGAGTTTTAAGAAAAATTAATCAAAAAACAATATGGGTTCCATATAATAAGACCTTCTGATATATATGAAATCACACTTTAGTATATGAACATGTATTCATACCTTCTCATATACCCCATAAGAAGCATTCCATTTAAAAAAGTTATACAGAAGCTTAACTAGAGGCTTTAGTTGTGGTTTTCTTTTTAGAGAAAATACTACCATCAAACATGAAAACACTGCTTTGACACACTTCTGACCAAGAACAGCAACAATTAACATTTTAATAACATTAACTGATTAAAATTAAATTAATTTTAAATTCAATTAAATTTTAATAACATTGCTTTGCTTTGGATTCCTATTTAGAATTACTTTCTATTTAAAGAATATGAGGGCTTTCCATTTATAGTAGCAAAACATTTCCTTTAAACAAGAGGGTTATTTATTTAAAGAAGTCAATTTAAATAGTATTAAATAGTATTAGTAAGTAAATGGATATGGCAAAAATCTGAAAATGTTATGTGACTGCCCATGTTTGGCTGACATTAGTATATCACATGGCTAGCGAGTATTAGTCTCTGTTCTAGTTCTAGCTCTCTGAACAAAGCAATCTGTTTCCTGATCTCTAAAAATGAAGAGACTAAAGTAGAATGAAGAGAATTTTGGAGTTGGAAAAAAATATAAGCCACCATCTGGTCCTGACACAAGAATTTACAAGTAACGTGCAGAGAGCATTATAGGTGAAAATTCTACTGCCTCTATAACAAAACGAACAATTTTTAGCTTAGACAAGGAATTAATGAATAAGATTAGGGTTGGCATATACTCTCCATATACTTTCTAGAACCCTTGGCCAAATTAGCCAAGAAAAACAATATAATTCCAATTAGACATATTTTTACTCTGCATAGGTCCCTTAGAAGGCCTGGTCTTGGGATATTTTACCAGTGACATCAAAGTTTCAATCACAGGACACACTCAAACTTGGCTTCTATTTCTGTATCTAATAATCTAAAACTTAAAGTAAAACACTTCAGTAGTACCAGTCATTTATATACTTGAATGACATAAGATAGTTTTCTTAAATATAAAATGGTATATAATCATCAGTATATAACTGGTATTATTAAACTGCAAATAATGTTTGATTATTGTTTATTAAGCTGCAAATAATGACAGCTGTTTTTCCTGGAATTCTTCATGCAATTCTAATGCATGGTGATAGGTGAATGTTGTAAAGAAGTTGTTGGAATCTGTGT